TGTTCCAAGTTCCCTCTAAACTTGTTATTCCTTACTTGGGAAAACAAAGTATAATTGTTAAACCCAATTCAACAAGATACTAAGGTCTTTCTACCCCAAGATCAAACTCCGCATTTGTCTTCAAATCATCACTTCGCATCAGTAACTTTTTAGAACTAAATACATTTTACCTTCACCCTTGCGTTCAAAGGTCATATATAAATATACATGTGGTAGCTGTAAAGCCACCTTCTCGCCATTTACAAATACGCGCTTTGGAACACATGGGAGTTTCTAACAGAACTTAATTTAAACTTCAAACTACACCTACTCGTCTGTACATTCTCACAATGAAAACTTTTCAATTTAAACTTATGAATGTTGATCATGGACTGTTGATAAAAGAAAGTCTACATATTACGAATGAAAATCTAAGCCTCATCAAAAATTCAAAATCTTCCCTCTGCTTTACTCAAATAGCTCTTTTTTTTTTAAATAGAATGTTTTATAATTTCCTAACACTGTTATATTTTTATATCGGTAATTATAGTAAAGATTGTTCCCTTCATTATTGTAAACATTTGTTGAAGATGGAACAGAGATGTCGCTATGCGCTGGCATACGAATCCCGTGCCCCGATTCCGTAGTTGATGTCTTGAAAAATCAGAATAGAAAGCCATGATTGATATCATAATAAAACGCTGAAAATTCCTGCGCCTATGGACCGGAGCCCCGAATCTTGTAAGTACCTAACGACGCCTCTGAGAGGGAATATGTGTAATTCTGAAAGTTTCATTAAAGATGTTTACAATTGTTGCATTGGCTCTACTCTTTATTATCAGACTTACATTAGAAAAAAATTCGAATTGAAAACCCTGGTGCCCTGTTATAACATAATTATCAAGGACAACAAAGGACCTATTGGTCCATATAAGTTGTATAATCCTCTAAAACTATTAAACAAACAAACAAAAAAACCTCAAAGCCAGTCATTAAATATGGGAAAAAATGACACGATCAACACTATCAATTCCCTTAACTATCTTAAACAATTCAGTCTGATTCCCTCTAACTCTTCTTTTTTTTCAAGAAAAAACAATTTCAAAGATCTTAACCTTTCCTCGTATGACAACCTATCCATCCCAGTTACCATTCTAGTAGCCCTCTTCTGAATACTTTCTAACAATTTAATGTCCTTCCTAAGGTAAGGAGCCCAAGACTAAATACAATACTCCAAATGTGGACTAGCCAGTGACCTATAGAATGAAATTATAACCTCTTTAGACTTGTATTCACCATTTCTGTAGATACAACATATGGTACTATTTGCCCTACCAGTAGAAACAGCACGCTGCTTGGATGGCTCAAGAGACTGATCAACCACTTCATCAAGATCCCTTTCTTTCGTAACACTGTTTACGTTATTCCCATCCAAATTATACTTATAATTCAAATTATGATAACCCACATGCATTACCTTTCATTTATTGTAATTATAACCCGTCTGTTATTTAATTACCCAACTCAATAAATGATCGAAAACCTTTTGTAAAGCAGTAGCATCCTCCTCACAGCCAGCAACACCCAAGACCTTAATATAATCAGCATATTTAAGTAACTTATTCACCATTCCTTCATCAACATCAAATATGTAAATCAAAAAAGCAAGGGTTCTAAGACTGAAGCACCCCACTTGTGACATTAATCCAGTTTGATTGAACTCTATTTATAACAACCCTCTGCTTT